TTGCTGCGATGTAAGGCAAACCTACAATGACTCGCTGTTGCAAAGTCAGTGCCAAAATAAAAACTGACTTCAATGAATATTCTTTTAAATGTAGATTGATAGTAACAATACACAGTTTCTGACGAAAACTTAGATTGATCAGACATAGTCACAGAAGCACAAAAGTGACTACAAACTGATGTTTTTAACTTTACCTTTACATTTTAAATCACGGAATCCTGAAACGTATCACGTTGTCCTCTAGTGTAGGTTACAATGGAGAATGGAATGCGTGGAAAACAAAGCTGGCACAATCAGGATCAAGCCTTATTTACCGAGTCCGTCCTAATTGATACAGGGGCGGGATGCGTCAGTAAGGATAGAGGGAGCGGCTACAAGGATAGCGAGTGTCAGTGATTGATGACGTCAGAGGTGTAAGCTCGACTTTTCGCCTTTTCGCCCAAGTAATCTTTGGTTCGTAGTCCGTTTAATCAGAACTTGATGGTCTATTAGTAATAGGTTAGATTGGATTTTAAACTGTGTTTTCTGTTTGCTGGGTGCGATATTGGAATGCGGATTTTTTTAAAGCGTTTTAAATTAATATTTTTCTGGTTTTGATAATTGCTAATTTGAAATAGGTTGGTGTATCTATAGTTGAATCGAACATTCTAAGTGTGGGAGAGCTATGATAAATGAGGTAGATCCATTCCTTTCTCCCCGCCCCCAAGTCTTCCCAATCCCTAAATCTCCGAAACCCTAATCCCAAACGGCGGGCAACGCACTAGCAACTTTTCTGATGTATCTTACTCCAGTTGCTTACCATCAGGTAATCCGTAGGTATGTTCGTTTACCACACACAGAATCCTATCACATAATAAAAAAATCGAATTAATGTAAATTATATTTATATGAATATGATGTTAGTGCAGTTTTTTTATTTGTTTATTAAAGAAGACGTTGAAATTTCAGCATACCGATTAATTTGGAAAGTCTTTTACGCATAACACGACTTTAAAACAAACTTGGTTCGAAATCGCGACATTACAGGTTTTGTCAAGGAATTGGATGTCAGGGGGCGTATTACAACCTTTTTAAAATCCAGTTTGTTTCCTGGCAGGTCAGTTTAAGGCCGTAAACTGCGTGGTTCTTTTTCGTATTATGACGTACGTTTTTCTGACTGGATTCATCCTGGATGATTGTCTGTGGTTGGTTTGCACCCTTTAGAAAGATTGCGTTCGAAAACATCTTAAAAGGGTTACTGGTATATTACGGTTTTTGAAAATTGAATGTAATATATTATATAATGTAATTTTCTAACAGAATCGAGATTAAGAATGAGTTCAAAAACGAATTATGTATTATATGCGTAAGTACAATGTCATAAATATGAAAATACAGCACTGTCTCACAACATACATTTTAGACATACGCTACATTTCTGAACGTAAGTAATAGGAGGTAGGATAGGTGATAACAGCTCACCCGGCAAAAATAAAAGTTTTTTGTTATAATAAGGGTTTTTAACTAATGAAGTCCATTTAATTTTTTTAAAAAGAAGGAGATCTAAAACTGCTTTACTTTGTTGAGCAAAGGAATCCGTTTACAGGATCCCTGTTATAAAGTTGTTTATAAATATTGTCTACTCAATATTGGCGTAAGTCTTCAATCGCAAAAGGGTCACTAAGGTCTCGAAGACGCGTCCTCTGAATTTTTGTTTCGTGGTTATCTTGTGACGCATCACTTTCAAGAAACTCGAAGATTATTAACTCATCACACATATTTAATGTTATAGTAAACAGTATGTGATAAAAACATAAAACAATTCAGTAAAAGCTACTCGACACCGGCGTAAACTGACTGGTTTGTTTGACACAAATTTTGACATTTGAGCAAGCTAAGAAATGTCAGTTTGGTGGTCATAATACGGGTTTGCCAGCCAATATACGTGCAGAAATCGGTCAAGTGTCACGTGACTGCTAACTGACTGGCAATAAGACGTCATAATACGGATAAACAAGGCAGTTCATTTTAAGGTGTAAATTGACTGGAATTAAGAGATCGTAATACGCCCCCAGATCTGTGAAATTTATCGCCATCTTAATGGCTCCATAGTAGCATTACAGTTCGTTACATCGTATCATATCTATATCAATGTTACACATTCTGTGAATTCGATCTGACAGTTAACTCTTGTTTGTACTCTAACAAAGCTAACAAACACAGCGAAAACAGTTTTAAGTTCTTAAAAATAGAGTTGAAAGTGTCTTTGAAAGTCTGTGAAGGACTTTTTTCTAGAATCAGTACTAGTAACTGTTTGCGATATCGTATTTGTATAAAGTGAGTTATAGAATGTGAGTGAATTTTTTTTCTAAGGATTTATAAGTTACTTTAAAATAGTACTAGTCTTTTCAAAAGACCTTTATAGAGGGTGTAAAAAGATACTTAACGAACGATTACTTTTACGAATACTGCAGTTCTAACTAAGTAGCTTTACGCTAAAATTATCACTGGAAAACGACCTTTATTTTTAGGTATCAAAAAAAAAATATTAGCATTAAAACGCTGTGATAAGGACGTAGGTCGACGTTTTACTTCGCAACAACAAAACAATTCTGTAAAATTCCTACTGAGATACACGATGTTTTTTGTGCGGGTCTGCATTTATTTATTACGTACATTACGTAATTTATTTAGAAAAATCGAAAATTCAGGTAATGTTTGTTTGGAAAAAAGTTTTGTAATAATACTTAGAATTCGAAAGCGCAAAAAAAATAAAAATAAAAATGCATCTTTGACCTTCAATATCTCGAGAACCCGTGCAGTCCCAGCTATGGTCTTAAAGAAAAAAATGATCCAAATAATGTATGGGTAGAATACGTGACTTTCGGCTTCGTTAAGTGTCTTTTTACTTCTTTTTCCTGTATAAAGGTTATTAGGACGTATGTCCTAATAATGATCACCGTGGAGGTTATATTTAGTTAGGAATTTCCCATTCCTAAGTTTTCTCCCAAGACACTTTTCAAAGGTTCCCCTCGAATACAAAATACGACGGGCTAGGAATCTCTAACTGTTTTTTGATTAAGAAATTGGATCTCACTATCTGCATTGAAATCATTTCCATTCCTGGTGCGATCATTTGTTTCATACTTTTTTATCTAACGTGCTTAGATAGACAGATAGTTTATTTAATGCAATACATTTTTTTACATATTGGCTTCTTTTCGGTTTAAAAAAAACAAAGATCTGTTTGAATTAAAAGTCAATCGACAATCAATCAATGATTGTGTTTCAATTACTCTGCAAATAATTTTTGTATGATGTTCAAACAAAATAATTTGTTTTCAAGTTAATGTTATACAACTTATTTCGAGTAATAAGGTAGTTATTCCATATACTTAATTGGGGTGAAAGTCCATTATTTGTGAAAATTGGCGAAAAATGAACTGATGACCCAACTGCTCACAAGTGATGAGCGCCATGGATACACTTAGATGAGGGCTTTATTTCGACGTATTAAGAACAAGTTCGCTCTTTTTTTGAGGTACGAATTGAAATACATTCTTGCAATCTTTGTTTGCACTATTCCAAGCTCTATGTGCAATCATTATCGAAAGTCAAAAATCTTTAATATGAATGAGTTGATTTCGAGATTCCAATTCTTGGGCTTATAACGACGTGACAAGACAATCGTGAAAAGAAAAAAAAAAATAACATTTAAATGTTCTTACGAAGCCAAATAGGTATAAAACGTATTTTGATAGCTTTGGAGCTATCAAAATACGTGAAGTCTGTTTGAACCTTATTTGAACCAAATCCCAACAGATTTTCAGCAAAAAGCGAATAAAAACTAACAAAACAGCAAACTTGCCAGATTAGATATTTCTCTCTTTACCTCGGGGAATTCTTTTAAGAAAAATATTTAGGAAAATGTTAAGGTAATATTATAAGTGGGTGGGTAAAAATACTTTTTATTGGCAATTTATATGTGTCCATTACATTATTGTATAATCGAAGGAGTAAAACTAAAAATTAAATATAAATTGCCAACGAAAGAAGTAATTATTACATAAAAAAATGATTCTTTCTGGTATTTCTAACGCAATTTTTTCAATTTTTGTTTCGTTAGAGCCTTGCCAGGACTTCCATAAATATGAAAAGTTAATTTCATTTCTCCGCTTCTATTGTATACAATAGAACGCCATAGTAAGCCCACGTGAACGTGGGCATCATAAGAAATCAATGACGCTAATTTGATAAAAACTTATCAAGTGTACAAATTTTAGCAAAAAATGTTGTGTACTCCTAAGTCTAGTTATGGATTTCATGGGAAGTTGGTAATCATTTATTTGTATGAAATTTGTGTGAAATCCCAGAAATGAAGAAAATGTTAGCTCTATCACGTTTTTTTCTAGCAAGCCTGGCACGTGGTACAGAAACCTCACAAAGAAAAAACACCATAAAATTTTCCTTCCACATATAAAATTGAAATAAAAAACGTTACAGTAATAACACATACAATCGGTAGCCAATAAAATAAATGAAATTCTCAAAGTTACGATTTTCCAATATTCACTAGAGTAAAATATTACAGATAAACCTTGGGTTTCACTCGTAAAAATAATATAAAAAATCTGTAATTTTATCGTTTCTAATGTTGCTTCAGAACGAAATGGATTTGTAAAAAATATTAAATCATAATGAACATATTTATTGGGATACGTGAGTCTAGTTATATATTAATTTTTATACTTAGTTGTCCATAGTTTTGTATAGAAATCATAAAATATTTTAATTGATATAAATATAGTTTGACATTTTACTTCAATGCGTTTATACCAGAATTTATATAAGACTTTTCACACGCATTATTTATATGATATTTTTTTGTGTGAGAAGAGGCCTTTTCTCACCAGTGAACACTTGTAGGCTGATGATGAGGATGACGATGATGATAATGATCATAATTATAATTCATTGAGTTATTTAGGGTAAATAAACATTAGTCTACTTATTTATTACAGTGGCCTTACTAATATCCACAACAGCAGCCCGTGATGCTCCTAAAATTAAAATATTCGAAATAAGAGAAAACGAGAATGGATTACATTTGAAAAATTTTAATGCGGATGCAAAAAGTAATCCAAAAGCTGCTCCTTTGGCCAAGTTACTAAGGAATCCAAAACAGGATAATCAAGCCGTAAGATATGCTAAGCAGTTACTAAGCCAAGTTAAGTATGTAAAAGAAGATGATAAAGCTAATAGGTTAAAGGAAGGTGCTTACATTATTGTACTGAATAATGATATTTCAAAAACATCTGACGAAACCGAAGAAGATACTTATTTTGTGGACAAAACTAGAAATGAAAAAAATGCGATGGAAAGTAACTCCATTAAAGACTTGCTGCTGCAGTTGTGAGTAAATTTTTTATCATATTGTATTTTTCTTAATTATTTGTATTTTCTTTCTACAACCAATATCATCGTTCAGAATATAATATTGTTGATCCATAATCAAGGTTATTCTAGTCATTTCTAGTCGCAAAAGTACTCTTATATAGCATATCATCGGAGACTCATAGGAGTCTTCAGTCAGCTGCTACCGATCTATTTAAATACATAAATACATAAATGAGCAGCGTGAGAATCGCAGCAACGACGTCGCGCAACTAACTGAAAATAGAAGGCGTGCAAAAAATAACGTACTATTATTTATATAAAATCATTAAATTCCATTTTTGATCTCAGCGAAGAATTGAATTCTGTTAGACACCATAGTCAAATTATTGAACTCTTTTATAGATTACCTTCGGAAAACGAAAGAAGGGCGAATTTTAAACCTGGTACACTTCGAATACCAAAGAAAAGTCTGAGAACTGGTCAAAATGATCAAGGAGAATGTAAGTAATCAAAAGAAAAAAATATAAGCCTTTAAAGAAAAAAAAACAATAGAAAGAGACGGATGCATGGGCAGTGGAATTTATAATAACAATACTTCGTTTAAAACCTATAACCGAATTCTGGCTACTATGACTTTTAAACCTAAAACAAATACAATTTCAAAACTACTCTGACGTGAAAGAAGATTATGTGGTCTGGAGATCAGAGAAGAAGACGAGATACCGCAATACTGTCTAACAACACTTCTCTTTTAATAATTACGTTAGGCTCATCACAAATCCTTAAATTATTTTAGATACCTACCTTGCTAACTACCTTGGTTGGCCTGGATATTTCTAGAACAACTGGCATCTAAACGACCCTTGGTGTCAGAGCTATAATTATATTCCTCCTTAATTTTGACTCATTGGAACTACGAATAACAGAAGACGTCACGACATCAATGCATTCCACTTTTCGAACTTATCACTATAGATTTTGAACTTAAGTATATTGACTCAATAAATTCATGAACCCCTTTCTTTTCGCAGCTAGAATGCCACAGCGTAAACAGGAATTTATATATTATGACGATGATGCACTGACGCCGCGGGACTATGAAAACCAATATAATAATATAATAAAATAGAATGATGAATGATGAATATCTACATTCTGACTTTGTTTCAATTAGGTAAAATACCGTTACCCAACAAGCAGATGGATTACTTGATGGTAAATAATCAACGTAGTCCAGGGATAATTGCAACGCCAGAGGTATAATATTTCCCAAACGTACGGCGCGTACCGTGCGCCTCATTGAGCGAATAAACCACTACAGAAGGAGCACTAACGGACGGATGTTCAGCCAGGGTTGCGGGTCATGCGCAAAAAGGTATCGTGGCCTTTGCCTAGAGTAGGAGAAGGAATGGGTGAGATTTTAGTCAGTAAGAGTCTGTGACTCCCTCTTGCTTCACCGTGGACGAGAGAACCCATTTGATAAATAATCCGAAAAAAAGAGATATAAGGTTTCATGGCTCGCCTTTAAAAGAGGCAGATCGGCAGTGGGTGCTTCAGTAACCACTCACACATTATAGTTTTAAGTGTAGGAGAATTATGCTTTGGCACGGATCGGTCGGTTCGACCGGTCTGATACTACTGCCTCAAAGAAAACCAGCGTGTAACAACCACAGTATTGTGTGTCGCCATGTGTGTAAGGTTACTGGACGCTCAATCCTTCTTCCCCCTTTCAATTTTCCAAATCACTAAATTAACAAAACTCTTATCCTCATAAGGCTGGCAACTCTTTCGGTGCCAGGTGTCCATTGCTTACCATCAGGTAATCCGTCTTCTCGTTTACCGAGAAATACGATGCAGTTGTAATGACGGTTTCTGTGAAGCATATGCGGTCCAATCGTGCCAAATTGAGAGAAAATAACTTTAACGCATTCAAGAAACAGACAGTTCTACGTTATAATCATTTACCATGTAGGTACTTTAAAAAAAAATGAGTTACTATTATACATATCTTTTTATCTTTAATGATTTATCTACCGCTGAACCTGATATGTAAGCTACACGAATTAACCATTTTAAGTTTACTTTTGTCTCCAACAACCTTGAAATAGCATACAGGATACACCTTACACATTGACCCAAAACATACGTAAATATATACAAAACTGTTTCAATTTCACGCCACAGAAGCACAGCACATACTGTTATATGCATGTAGGTAGGTCGAAACGGTGCAGAGCACGTATTGTGTCCGATTTCATTACCAGCTCTAACGAACTGAGATCCTAGAACAAACTGTGATTGATTTTACAATACGTGTCTGTTCACAATCAGCCCTCAGCGAATACAGATACGTAACAAGGGGATCTGGGGTGAGTTTTGCAAAAACTGTTGACCAAAACCTTGTTTCGCAATTAAGATTGTCGAATTGTTTTAAAGAGTTTTGGTGGTGAAATGAAAATTTTTCTTCTGTTTTGCTTTCCGCTTATTCTAAACTATTACTTAATCTAATACATTATATTATGTTGTAAGATTTTGCATCTTCAGCAGATAGTCTTTTGAATATTGTATGTATTTTTACGGACTTCATACTTATGTACCTAAGTTAAATACTAAATCAATGGCAAATACTATATTCTTTGCTGTCTAGCATCATGACCTTGTCTTAATTCTCCTTATTGATAAAGCAAATAATATATTGTATTGTGGTAACTCAAGGCCGAGAAATTGCGTATAAAGGAACATAGTGTTAATCACACTAACGCAGCTCCTTCCAAACCGAATGGAACGTTTCACCGGCGAAGGCACCTAAAGCAAATAAATCTCAGTGACGTAACAATCCGGTAATAGTGGGCCGCGCGTCCCGCTAATTGAATTAGCGACCGTGATCCCGGGATCGCGGGATTGTCGGATTCGCCCGCTGTCTATTTACCTGGCTTTGTGCGAAGTGGTTGATACGCCGGGTGATTGTTTGGAGAGAATTACAGAGGTCATTCCCGGCGTGTTAATTTTTGGGAATGGAAATGAAATTTTGGGCTTGGTATGGATAATTTGTATTAAAATATTAACTGATTTTGTGTTATCAAGTTAGAAGAGGCTAATTTATGTTTGAATAACTCAAGTGTAGATGAAGAGAAACAACGTTGATTGTCAATAATAATACCTTCAATACGGCTGTCAAAATTATAATAGGTGAGTAGGTCACACAACCACAATTTTCATTTATGATAAAAATTTTTAGTAATAGAAGACTTGAAACCTTATTTTCAAATGGTTTTGATTAAATTTGGGCCTTGAGGCATCCATAATGTGTTGTGTTCTTTTTTGTAATTTAAATGGTGTCAAAATATTATTTTGCGCAACATTTGCCCCCATGCTACGTTGCGAAGTAGCTATTCAACAAATTCTTGTACAGACCGGTACTCAATCAAATAACATGATTATAACTCTAAGCAACAACAGCACATTATCAAGTGCTTAAGCAGTTCAGCGTCCTAAGCGTACGGGGCGTAGCCTCAAAGAGCTATTAAACCATCATATATGGGGCTCATTGCGGCCGATGTTTAGCTAAGGTTGAGAGTGCAAGCGCAGTCATTTACTCGTCCTGGAGTAGGAGAAGGAACGGAGTGCTTTTTAGATAGTAAAAGTCTGACATAACTACGAGCCGTGATGAAGATCCCCGTCAAAAAAAAAATTTTGATACCTAATTAAATATTTATATAAAAACAAAGTTTCAGCTCATCGACTTTGGTATGCAAAAATAAATTAAGGGTGAATAAATAACAAAAGAAAGAAAGATGCATTCATACTCATTGTTCTAATTGATCCCTAGATTTCTTAATGATTTATGAAATTCTATCTCGTTTTGAGAAATTAAGATTATAAGTAGGTATGTTAAGTAACTACTATAATAATACATAATTTTTAATAGCGACTTCTGTGGCGCTGGGTTCCCACCAAGTTGTTTGATTTTGCCCACAAAGAAGCAGTTCAGCTTGCAAGCGTCTGCCTATCGAAGCTGTTAAAAGGATCCTGGTCCAAATTGCTTAAATACCTATGGGTGTTCATGGGGAGGGAGTGAAAGTATCGGATGGCGAGATAAAAGCGTTTCTGTGTCTCAGCGGAGACACTTGAGGCAGTTACAATGTGTCATCTTGAAACTGAAGATATTTTATAATGTCTTAGGCAATTGTTCCGTTGTTTACTGCTTCATTTAGTATAGAAAAGTATGATATTGGTGTAGGGAAGAAAATTAAAAGTGCACCGATACCTTCTATTTTTTATCTGTTTGGGTTTTGTTGTACTTGGAATTCTTTGCATTACTTACTCAGTATAAACATACACAATAATTTATAATGAAGCCAGGTGTTTTAATAAAGTATTCTTATTTTTTTTTCGAGTAACATATCAACCATATGTAATCTTATTAAAATCTTACAGAGCAAAGCGCATATTCACATTTTGTGAGGCTATGAAAAACGTTGAACTCAATTGTGTTGTTGTTAAGTTCTAGATTACTAGATTACACTAACAAAAACTCAACCATAAATTTCTTAATCAGAGGCACACACAGAAAATTATTATACACTGCAAAGATGTAAGTTTTAAATGTGAGGAGAAACCTCAAGAACTTAATTATTGAACTTAGGTAGCTGAGTTCTCAGTCAGCCTGGGAAGTTGTGCTTCTTGCTTGCACCTTCAGTACTCAAAAGACACATTTGCATTTTGTAGAATAATGTCAACTACTTCTTAGTGTTTCAACTTTAAATTGACGGAACATTGAGTAATTTATGTCGCTATGTCTTTTCAAAGTAACTGACATATTGTTGAGTAGAGCGTCGGTAGAATGTACTAAATTGTTCTGCGATGAAATTTTGGACTTTTCTTGTTATATGTATGTTACTTTTGTATGATAACTTTAGTAAGCTAGACAAGTAACAACAATGCACATTGTACACATTGGTATCAGTGTTATCACTTATTAAAAACTGAGATTATATTTTATCTCAAAAATTAATATTTAATTATCATCCAAACTAAAATTATAAATGCGAAAACAACTGTTTGTCTGTCTGTTTATTCTTCACGCCTGAACTACTGAATCGATTACTGTGATATTTGGTACAGACATACTTTCGAAATCCAGAAAAAACAAAGGATAGATTTTATACCAAAATACTACAGGAAGTCACTATTCGTTGCGAACGAAATTGCGGGCAAAAGCTAGTATTTTAAATGTGGTATCATATTTGTTTTGTATCTAAAATTTACCTCATAATCTTCGCTTAGTAATTTAGTCAAGATTTCTTTATCTAGCTTATTTTTATTGTTTGTATAACAAAAGCATTTCATAGTGGCAGTTAAAATCTCTCCAAATTTAAATAGATGCACAATAATTATTGAATTTAACTGAACAAAAGTACCTGAGACGCAGATTTCTTAACTTCACAACTTAATATTATGTAATTGAACGTACCCAAAGCAATAACAAAAGCCATTCAACTCGACACTTGATCACCAAGCACTAATGCACTTGAATCATTATAATAGCAGCACAATTTGATCCATCTTAAAATTTATTGGTCTTTTCACTAAAACAGCTCAATAAATAAAGCAATAACGTTTGAAAGCTTTCCCCTGTTCAGACTGTTGTTAGAATGTTGACAAATGTCCTTAGAGCCTCACCGCGAGTATAAGAAGGACCATTCGATTCCAATTCAAAGTGGAATTTATTAAAGCACAAGACTCCATTGTTAATCACCCTCCTTGCTTATTTTCTGTGACGCCGATTTATTTGCCAGTTTATTTTAACTAGTTATGGAAATTTTGTTTTAGTCTAAAGGATATTAGAGCTCTCAGAATTTCAATGCTTCTGCAAATTGGACTAGACTTCCAAGAAATGTGAAAACAATTTCAAGCATTTTATGACATTATTTGAGGTTTTTAACTTCTTTAGTGAGTGTTCATGGGCGCCAATGGTTGTTTACCATCGAGTAATCTGTGAGCTCGATTTACGAATTATTCTATAAAAAACAGCTAGTTGAAAACAACTAGTTTAAAATGGTTTCGGTATAAGTACGCTTTGGCATGCCTCGTCGTTCTATATCTAAGCTCAAGTCATTGCAATGAGCC